TTGAGCAGCCTCCGCCGAGGGAGCTGGGTGCTGGAGGAGAGGAGGAGGCGAAGGCACTGGAGGGAGGGCTGGCTGGGAACCGTGGGGATAGTTCAGGGGGTCCCTGCACATGGGGGACGCTGCCCACCCGTGTTCTGTACAGACGTGGGTTATGCAAATGTGCGTTGCACACGGGTGTGCGCTGCACGCGCCCGGGCACGCTGCACGCACACCACAGCCACGGTAGCACTTAACTGTACCATCAACATGTATGTTGCATACGTGCACTGGCAGCACACAGGCTACACACACACGGAATGTCAGCACGTTAATATTGCATGACACACACACTGCACAGACACACTGAGTACACAGACATACATGTTGCATGTGCAGACGTGTGTGTTGCACTACCACGCACAGACACTGCACACACACACACACATATAAATATATTAAAGCTATACCATGCACACACACAACTTTACAATAGATTGGTGGGGACCTGCCCTTCATTTCCCAGTCCCAGCCTCCCAGCCTGGCCACGAAAGGGCTGGGGGGTTCCTGTTGGGGCTGGGATCTTCTACCTCAGCACAGCCCAAAAACCCAAGCCCAGAGTGGGGCCCTGCAGTGGGCAGCGTGTCCCGCTTGCCTCTGCACCCACGGGAGTCAGATCCTCAGGACGATGGCTCCCAGATCCTGCACTTCACCCCCGGTTTGGCCTGGCGGTGTTGGGGCCAAGCCCTGCTCTTGCTGCAGTTACTCCAGTGAGGACAGCCCGGGCTCGGCGGTGGCGATCACGGCGGAGCAGGAAGGGGCTTTGGGCCCGAGGTATGTTAGCGATTAACGGCGCTTTCCAGCGATTCATCTTGCAGCAGAGGGTGGAAACGTTGGAGGGTTGTTTGCAGGCGCTTGTATTAATCATCCGGGCTAACACACCATTAACGTCCTCCTGCATTTTAAAGATGACAAATTTTATTTGACTTCTCTCAATCACGGTTCCCGGGCGGATTCGGGAGCCACTTAAATGCCTCGGATTTTCCATCGTTAGTTGTTACAAGGCGGGTTGCAAAGGCAGGATGCTGGGGGGGCCAGGGCAGGGTGCAAGCGGGTCTCCAGTTCTGCTGGGCCCCGGCGGCTGGGGGGGCTGGCTGTACTGGATCTACCCAGCTTCTCCACACCCCCTGCCTTCACCCTGCTTTGTTCTTGGCTGTTGCAAAGGCCCCCCTTCCCCACTGCCTTTAAACAAGCGCCCTGCAAACATTTGCTAGTGATTACTCTCCCATTAGAGTCAGGCCTTGGGTTGGGCGCCATGTCCCCGATTTCCTCCAAAGCACCCGTAGCTGGGTGGGATCCCTGATCCCTGCATGGAGCTGGCAGGGGCTGGTTCCACCTGGGAGAGGTTCAGGGGTCCCACTTTATGCCTCCAGCCACCCTGCTCCATGTCAGCACAGCATCACCTGCAGTGCCCTGCTCCTTTTTTTACAAACCAGCCAGGCTCCTCACCGAGCCTCTCCCCAACCCTATAAAAGCCCTTACCCAGCAAACCGCCAGGCTGGGGTCTGTGCCACCCAACCCCATCCCTGGAAAACATCTACCCCCCAAAAAGAACCTTTTTATTCCCATAGCAGGTATCGCGAAGCCCACGGCCAGCCGTGTCCAGCTTGGAGCCATCGCCTCAGGCCACACAGCAGAGCCACTTCCAGCCTCCAACCACTGAGCCAGGTAAGCCCAGCCCAAGCCTGGGCATTATCTTGCTTTACCCACATCCCCCACCACCCCCTTCCTCCCCCCAAACCCTGCCAGAGATCCTTGGACCCTGCGCAGTTTGGAAGTGCTCAGCTGAGCAAATAGTGGGTCCGGTGGGTTGATTTTCCTTTGGAAAATCATTCTAATCTTTTGTGTTGCAATAAAATAGTAAAACCGGAGCCCTTTTCACACTGACACCTTCTAAATCAAACCAGACTGCCTTTGTCATGGCATCCAAATTTAGCACTTCTCAAACTTTTGGTGAGTTTCTTTAATTTCAAGTCTCCCCACTTGTGCAGGAGGGAAACACCGAGC